TAACCAAGTCCCCGAACTTAGAATCTCTGGTTCATAGGAATAAAACATATCTCCCTATATTTTATTTAGGTTTTTAATCGACCTACCGCAAATAGATTAGTAGCGACTCCAAACATGAAAATATTTGCACGTTAAGAACTAAAACCCTAAGTGCCGAATTGGAAGGGATTAGGAGGGGCATGAATTAGGCTTAGTCTTAATAATCCATTAGCCGAACCCTTAGGTGGTGCACCTGCGAGAGGTTTAGGTCGCGACAGAACCGTTTTGTTACTCATATTATTTTGCCGTAAAAACTAAGACCATAAAAAGGAAAAAAAAAAGTATTCGGGATAGATCCTAAAACCAGACTGAAAAAAAAATGGGGTAGGTTTAAAACTGAGAACCGGTTTTAACATGATATATTTCATGTCCCTCACCTTGTAATCAATCACCCATAATATAAATTACTCTCTCGTAAGACGATGCAACCCAAGATTTTTACAGCAATACCAAGCTTGAATCTGTGAAACAATAAGATTATGAATAATGAAAAGGAAGGGTTCACTGTGGGCTTGTTGGGATTAATCAGCGTAGTATTCTTTTTTCTAGCCCATCCATGTACATTTCAGGCCCTAGCCCCAGGGATAGAAATTGACTTACCATATCTGAATTTAATTTAATTTACGATTGTTCAATGACATAACTGAAATTAAATTATACTTCGCTCAATAAGATAATTAGAAACGGTTCGGACGACAACGAGATACGATTGGGAGGGCCTGGGGGATACAATTAGGGGGATGTGCGGCGCAGTAAATTCTCTGGGGAACTCTACAAACGACATAAAAGTGTGTTGCGGTTGATGCTTTCCTTTCGCGATTCCTAATCACAACGAAAGTACATAAACTATCACACATCGGCGGGGAGATCGATTTGGTTGGCCTCTTCTTGGTTAACGTCTTCTGGCTTGACAATAGAGGCAAAGGGCCCGGCAGTTCCCAACTTTTAAATGGCGATACGATCGAGGGTCCAAATCTTTCTGATGATTTGATAGAGGGAGAATGATTAAAAGGAGCTGTTGAGAATAATGACAAGGGACTTTGGTCCCCCTTAAAATTGTGGGAACTATTAATTAAACCTAATCATGACGACCCAATCTTAATCTTTGGTGGGGTAGGACGGATTGAAAGTTGAGATGCACATGAAGAAACCTAAGCTGTTTGGACCATTATTTTCTAGACTTTCAATTGGTTTAATAAGAGGGTCCTTCGTAGTATTTAGAGTTGACTTGCCCGTTTGACTTTTTTCTACACATCGATGAGCAATTAGTTACTTCTTAAGAATAAAACTACCCACCATGTCATTGGCATCGGATGAGTGATGTGTAAAATCACACAGTTTGTGAACCACATATTCATCCAAAATAAAACAATCTGTCTGATAGAAAGAACCCACAAATAGCAACTAGGAAACGGATGACTGATCACCCGACCGCCCTGTTGGTCTCCACTGACAATTTTCTTTTATGTACGTGGGCTATCAAATTCTGGATAAAGAATCTCTTAACATATTATTTTACCAGTCTTTCCGGTGTCCAGTTAATCGACCGAAGGAATGCAGACATCGCAAGCATATGAACATTCAAGGAAACCTCCTCCCAAGATACACGTCGCCCACGAAACATGCCGAAAGAAATACTATAATACAGGAATAATTATGCAGACAATCCCTGAACTTTAACTCAATATGAAATATTTTCCTTGAATTTTTTATTTGTTCAATGTGATCTTTGAACTTTAGTCCAATATGCAATATCGTCCCTGAACTTTTAATTTGTTCAATGTGGTCCATGAACTTTTGGTAAATGTTTGATCTAATCTCTAAACTATATGAAAATATCCAATATTATTCTTCAATTGATTCAAGTTTAGGGACAACATTGAATATTTTCATATGGTTTAAGGACTAAATTGAACATGTACAAAAAATCGAGGGATCATATTGAATAAATTAAAAGTTCAAGGATGACATCACATATTAGGCTAAAATTTATGGACCACATTAACCAAATTAAAAGTTTGAGGACGACATTACACATTAAATCAACGTTCATGAATTATTTGTGTCATTTTACTAGTATCCCACCCAAGCAAAACCAAGCCTCATCTCTCTCTATAAGGCACGGGGAAGATATCTCTCACACATTCATTCATTCATTCATTCTCTCTCTCTCTCTCTCTCTCTCTCTCTCTCTCTCTCTCTCTCTCTCTCTCTCTCTCTCTCTCTCTCTCTCTCAATGGCCATTTAATCTCCTTGAAAAATTCAAATGCAATGGGATGATTGGAGAATGATCCTCTTAAGACTATACAACGGTTAAATTGGAAATGGATAAGTATACAAGGAGATTTTGGTGAAAGAGGTCATGAATCTGAAATTCCAAAGTCCAAGAGAAATTCTACCTTACAAATTTGAGAGTGAATCTGAAATAGTGAGACGAGTGACTTTGAAATAGTGATACCTATCAAGATTGAGTGTTATCACTCTCATATGTAACTTATGATTGATTCACCAGTGAAATTCAGCCATTAGGTTGTCTATGTGGAGAGTGGACGTAGGCTTGCAATAAGCCGAATTACTACAACTTCTGTGTGCAATTTCTCTATCCCTTAACTCCTTATTATCTTTGATAATATTTGTACACAACTGAATATAATTATAGCATAATTTCACTTCAGACTCTGTCTTCGCATAATATTAATCTCGACGGTTTAATTCCATTTTAATTTGTCAAATTCAGTTATAATCATCTATTCACCTTCTCTAGGTGATAGTGCTAGCAATCTCAGGGAGGAGAACCGAGTTCTGAATAGTTCCGCGGAGCGAAGATCCCCAACCAACGCCGCTACAGTCCATGGCGCAACTTGGACAGTAATTTTCATGTAAGACAATGCAACCCAAGAGACCCACAGTAATGCCTAGCTTGAACTTGTGAAAAAGATCAAATATTAAAAGATAAAAAGAAGGTTCAATTTGGGCTTGGTTGGGTCATTCAGTGCAGCGCCATTTTATAGCCCGTCCATTAACATTGCAGGCCCTAGCCCCCAGGGATAAAAGTGACCACTATATCTGAATCTAGTTCAGTTTACAATCGTTCAATGACATAACTGAAATTAAATTATCCTTCGCTCAATAAGATAATTTGAAATGGGTCGGACGACAAAGAGATTCAATTGGGAGGGTTAAAAGATACGATTAAGGGGATGCATGAAACCGTAAATTCTCTAGGGAACTCTGCAAACAATGTATGTGCTACTGGGTTCGGTACTTATTTGTGCCAAAGCTACGATGTATATCTTCTTAGATTAGCATTTGGCCATAAACAGGTCAGACCTTTGATGAAGAGCGGTAATTACCCAGTGTGGAGGACGAGGGATTCAAATCTTGTAAAGATTACTCGGAAACTCAAACAAAACAAAAAAAAAAAAAAGAGAAGTTGGAAAAAGGTTTATTTTAGGGATAAACAAAGTGATTTGGATTGTTGATTTAGTTATCGTCCCTAAGGTTATATTTATTAAGGATCCCATGAGAAACCAAAGACTCAAATAGAATATTATTTCTTTTAACTTTAATAAAAGAGAAGCCCAATTATTTAGTGTGACGACGTATTGATGACGAGGGGGTGTTGAACTCAGAGGAAAAAAAAAACAAACGAGGGTATTAAGTCACTAAATTTGTATCCACAATAAGATTACTATGGGGGGTTGAACTTCGTACCCAGGATACGAAGATTAGCATAAGGGTGCAGTGGTGAAAAATGATTTATGAGATTGATGTAGAACGATTAGCATGTGATTATCTTGACAAACGTGATCGCCAGAAATTGACGCAATTTGGCCGTGAGTGATGTCGGAGCATTCTTTGAAGACATCGAAGGCCATTAATGATCTCTTATATTTTTTAGAGTAGTTGAATAATTTTAAATTTCCAGAATCCTTATTAATTGTGATTTGTCTTCTAGTAATTTATTAAGATCTCTATTTTCCAAACTTGGATGGTTGTTCCTTATTCCCCTCACTACAAAAAAACATGTTTTTTGCGATGAAAAAATCGCAAAAATCCGTCGCAAATCATTTTTGCGACGAATTTAGCGACGGAAAAAATTCCGTCGCTACTAGGTCGTCGCAAATTTTTGCGACGGAAAATATTAATTTTCGTCACAAATTTGCGACGGAAAAAAAATTCGTCGCAAATAATTCGTCGCAAAATTCGTCGCTAATTAGCCACGAACACTATCCGTCGCAAAGTTTGTCACAAATATTTCGTCGCAAAATTCGTCGCAAATAATTCGTCGCAAAATCCGTCGCAAAATTCGTCGCAAAATCCGTCGCAAATAATTCGTCGCAAAATTCGTCGCAAAATCCGTCGCAAAATTCGTCGCAAAATTCGTTGCAAATAATTCGTCGCAAATTCCGTTGCAAATGTAGTCGCAAAATTCGTCACAAATATCGACGCAAATTTCGTCACAAATTTAGTCGCAAAATTCGTCGCAAATTTGGTCGCTAATTAGTCGTGGCAAAATTCGTCGCTAATTTGCCAAAAAAAAATTTTTGGTCAGTAATTTGCAGCGAACTTATTCATGGCAAAATTCGTCGCTAATTTGCCACCAAATTTTTTTACATTTGCCATCAACATTATTTATGATCGAATTTAGCGACGATTTTTTATTAATTCTTTAGCGACGAACTCTGCGACGATTATCGTTTAGGGACAAAATTAGCGACGAAATTTTATTTTTGCAACGAACTTTTGTAATTTGTGATCGTACGATAAAATAATTTATTTTATTTTTTGATTTTAAACCTAATTAAAAGCAAAATTAATTTTTGGAATTTATATTTAACATTGATTAAGCAATTAATAACATCAAAATATTATAATAATATGAAAATGAAATACATTCATCTACATTTTCCACAAGAATTGACATAAATATTTTTTTTATAGTACACATAATGAGAGAATAAATAATCTTGCACAATAATCTTTCACAATAAATAATGACGACAGATTTGAATCAAAAAAGAATATCCTGCTTTTAGCGACAATCCCCATCATATAAAATACTAAACAAAACTAAAGACACGGTCCATGTGAGATGCTCACTTCCTGCTCCAGTTTTAACAAATGCCGGTTGAAATGTTGTTGCAACCTCTCATTTGCATAACTTATGCAGAATTGCTCAAAGCTATTCTTCTACAAAACACAAATTGTCTGGAATTAGACACAAAATTAGTGACATTGTGTCCACATTAAATGTTAATATATTCAGCTTCTAAAGGATACATAATGACTGTGAAGCAAGCAATCTTAATTAAGTAAAGCAACGAAGGTAAATGAAATATAGAGGAAAAATGTTGAAGTTCACTTTCAGTGATAAATCTAATAGAAGTAAAGAAACAAAGGTGCAACGTAGGTGTTCCAAATTGGTTCACTGTCCACAACTGCACACTTCCACCACAAAAAAAAACATTTATGTAAGTGACATGAACAAAATAAAGAATGATATTGGATGCTATTTATCTTTTAGCTACCACAAAATACCTGACAACACTGCACACTTCCACCACAAGCAGCATAATGAAGTGGAGTGCTTCCAGCACCCGCAACGTGCAAAGAACAATACACATGACTTTCCACAAATGCATGATTCTAAGCAGGTATCACTGCATTCAAATAATCAATCATTTTGAATGAAGCCATAATTCTCCCACAGGGTATTTTCTAAAAAAGCAAATAACACCTGGTGCAACCCCCAAAACCAGAAGACAAAAGAAGGGTTTTGGACTCTTGATTGCCCCATTCATTCCCATCCTCAAAAACCCAAGCCCCACGACTAAAAGCAAGGAGAGGAAAAAGATGGAACCAATCACATCAGCTTTGACCCAGCTAAGCTATGTAGCCCAATACAATATGCCAATATAGGTTAACATACCAAATCACATTTGCTTCTTAGAATCTATTGCCTCTTTTCCTTTGCATTGCAAGAATACGAGTAAAATATATTCAGATGCTATGAGCTATAGTAGAGCCGAAAGGAGAACAGTCAAAAGAGAGAAAAAACAGAGACAACAAAACCAAACCAGCTTAAAGCAAACATGAGAAAACCAGGAGTAGCAATATTATCGAAGACTCCGACGGAGACAATGCAATGGGCTCAAACAAAGCCACGAGATCCTCCATTTTCGCGAATATCAAAACAACCAACAAAATCAGCCCTGAATCAGATCAAACAACAAATTCAAGCTAAAGCAACAAAAGCCAAGAACAAATCAGCCCCCAATGTACACGTGCACGGCATATAGTTGTAAATATCACTTTCTTGCGGTTCCTCTTCCAACAGAACAAATCATCAGGTAAGAGGAGTGCTACCACAAACAATCAGTTTCATTTAAAAGCAACAAACAAAAAATCAGCAAGAGAACTCATTGTCCTACTTTTACAGCCATGATATAGAAGTGCCAATGAACCGATATGTTGCTACTCTATTTGTTCCCTTTTTTTTTATGGGCAGCTATTTAGCTGCCGAAAATTTTTTCCTCACCTTGAGCATTTGAACATCTTCTTGAAAAGTAAGCCACAAGGTCTTTCTCAAGTACTGCAATTAAAAGTTACTGCCCATGAGTTGCACTATTTATGTAATCAGATTGCAAAAAAGAAAAAAAAAAGATCATAGTATAACCTTTAAAGGTTCAAAGGGGTATTGTCTTCCAATAGCTTCAAGTTCTTTCTTGCAACTCGCATTCAATGAGTCGAACATTGTAACGAACAACTTGTCCATAATGTCCAGTACCTGCACATAAACGTTTAGTTCGTTAAGCTAAACTGAAAATTCAGTTAAATGAAAAAGTATCCAATCCGACCTCACAATAGTGCTTCTTAATCTCCATTTCAACATCAAGGCCAGTAAATTCACACAAATGCCTATGTGTGAAGGAGTTTTCTGCCCTAAAAACAGGGCCAATCTCAAAAACACACCCAAAGTCACCCATTCCACGACACAACACTTCTCTGAGGCATTTTATTGAACAGCTCCCGAGCAGCTCTAAGATCCCCCATTCTAACATACCCATCGACCATCACATTCCACAAAACCACGTCCCCCTCTTGCCTCCTGAGATTCATCTTCTTCCCCACTCCACCACTCCGAACAATTCTCTCATCAAACAAAACGTAAGCATCCTCCATGACACCGCAGAGCACATACATTCTGACAAGGTTACTAAGAACAAACTCGTCACCATCCAGACCACACTTAGCAACCATCCCATGAACCTGCCTCCCTTCCTTCACCATCCCCAACCTCGCACAAGCCTTCAACACCGGAGGGAACGTGAACCCGTTGGGCTCCACGTGGCCACCCCGGACCATCTCGCGGAACAGGGCCAGAGCTTCCAACTTTGTGGTGTCGTCGTCGTTCTCGGCAAGAGCCATAATGATGGAGTTCCAAGAAAAGCAATTGGGTCGGCGCATCTGGTGGAAGACCGCGCGCAAAATTTTGCGACGGATTTTTTTTTCCGTCGCAAATTTTTCGTCGCAAAAATTTGCGACGGACTTTGTTTCCGTCGCAAAATTTTTGACAGACTTTGTTTCCGTCGCAAATTTTTGCGACGGACTTTGTTTCCGTCGCAAATTTTTGCGACGGATTCCTTTTCTGTCGCAAAAATTTGCGACGGACTTTGTTTCCGTCGCAAATGTTTGCGACGGACTTTGTTTCCGTCGCAAATTTTTGGAAAATGCAATACAATTTTTGGAATCCGTCAGAAATTTGCGACGGAAAATAGATCCGTCGCAAATTTCCGACGGATTTTGCGACGGATTTTTTTTTCGTCGCAAATTTGCGACGGATTTTTATTTCGTAGCAAATTCCATCACAAATTAGCGACGAATAATTTTCGTCGGTAATTTGCGACGGAAAAAAAATTCCGTCGCAAATTTCGTCGCAAATTAGCGACGAAAAATTTCCGTCGCAAATTTCCGTGGCAAAATTCATGTTTTTTTGTAGTGCCTATAAAAGGATACTACGATGAATAAGATGAACACGACTATCAACTAAATTTCAGAATTACTTTGGAAAACTTTTTTCCAGTTATAGCTTACCCTGAGTCATTTGGTATCAGAGCAAAGTTTCTCCCTGCGACAATGTCTCATAACGTGATTCGAAACACCTCCGTAGCTGAGGGCGCTGAGCCTGTTACACGTTAGGAATTTACCTAGTTTGCCGAGAAAACTTGACACGCTCCGCGAGACCACCAACGGACGATGCAAGAATTACTTGCCGCCATCCAACGGTTGTCTGCAAACCCTAACCCTAACCCTGGTGATCTTCCAGCCGAGCGTATTCCTGTCACTTGAATTCCCGAAGTAGCTATGGAGCGAAGGGCGAATCCCCGACAAAGGCATCAAGACTATGTCGAGGACTCTGAAAAAGAAGATGAAGAGGATTTTCAGGACACGCCTATTCGTGAAGGTCACCGTTATGGGGGATTTCAAGGAGAGCATGTTCGTGGGGGTCGTCAACATGGAAGATATCGGCGAGAACACGAACAGTATCAATTGAAAGTCGACCTTCCTACCTTCAATGGCAACTTAAACATCGAAGTCTTTCTGGATTGGCTTTGGGAGGTTGAGAAGTTCTTCGATGCCATGGAGATCGAAGAGGACCGCCAAGTAAAGCTCGTGGCGTATAAATTGAAGGGCGGCGCCTCAAACTGGTTGGAGCAAACACAACTTTCCCGGCGTCGACAAGGGAAAGCACATATCCGAACTTGGAATCGTATGAAGCAGTTGCTGAAACTTCGATTCCTCCCTGCTGACTTTGAGCAAGTTTTGTTTGAGCAATTTCAGGCTTGCAAACAAGGAAGTCGGACGGTTCAAGCTTACACGGAGGAATTCCTTCGACTTTCGGCCCACAATAACCTTGCCGAATCTGAAGCGCAACAAACCGTCGGGTATATCAATGGTCTACGTTTGAATATTCAAGATTGTGCTTCGTTGCATTGTTTATACTCTGTCGAGGATGCGCAAGAGATGGCCAGGAAAGTGGAATTGCAGTTGGAGCGAAACAATTACTCAAGCATACCAGGAAATTATGCTCCTCAAGGGCAATTCGGGCGAGGAAAATCGCAGGAGTGTGTTGAGTCCTCTAATTGGCAATTCAACATTACAAACCGAAATTCGAGAAGTAATGTTGAGGTGCCCAAACCTTCTGAATCCCCTACGTCGAAGGCTCGTGATGTTGTTTCGAATCCTTATGCAAAGCCCTATCCAGGAAAGTGCTTTAAATATATGAACCTGGGCACCGTTCGAGTGACTGTCCACAGCGGAAGATGACGAATTTGGTCGAACTTGAAGATGAGCTTTATGAGGAGGATTGGAAGAACGAAGAAGAGATAGTTGACGAAGAAGGAAAACATGTTAATTGCGTAGTTAGACGACTACTGTTAGCCCCATGGAAGGAAGATTAGCAGCGGAATAACCTTTTCCGCACCCATTGCACTATCAATGGAAAGGTCTGCGACGTCATCATTGATAGTGAAAGTTGCGAGAATATCGTATTGCAGGCGCTTGTCGATCATCTCCAACTAAAGACTGAAGTTCATCCCTTGCCCTATACGATTGGCTCGATTCGTAGGAGACCGGAATTAAAGGTAACTCAGATTTGTCGTTTGCCTATTTCTATTGGAAAAACGTACAAAGATACGATAATCTGTGATGTTGTTGAGATGGATGCATGCCACGTCTTGCTGGGACGGCCATGGCAGTATGATGTTGACATTACTCACTGAGCGCGTGAGAATGTTTATTCGTTTGTGTGGGATAGGACAAAAATTACCCTTCGTCCCTTGGATGAAGCTACTCGTGTTCCGCGAACTACTCAAAAATAAGACAAGGACAAGGCTGGTGTTTTACTTAATGTTCACAATAAGAATGGTATGTACTTGATCGTGGATAGTGGATCTAAGTAGGAAACCATCGAAATTCCAAAAGCACTTCAACCATTATTGAAGGCTTTTTCTAGTCTTATTCCTGAGGATCTACCGGATGGACTACCACCGATGCGAGACATTCAGCACCAAATTGATTTCTTACCGGGTGCTAGTCTTCCAAATTTGCCCCACTATCGCATGACCTCGAAGGAGAATCAGATATTACAGGAAAAGGTGGAAGAACTTCTTCGGAAGGGATCTATACGAGAGAGCATGAGCCCTTGTGCAGTTTCTGCTTTACTTACACCAAAGAAAGATGGGAGCATGCGGATGTACGTGGATAGTCGAGCAATCAATAAAATTACTGTGAGGTACCACTTTCCTATTCTCCGTTTGGATGATATGCTTGACAGGTTGTCTGGATCAAAGATCTTTTCGAAGATCGATTTGCGGAGTGGATACCATCAGATTCGTATGAGGCCCGGGAATGAATGGAAGACGACGTTCAAAACCAGCGAAGGACTTTATGAGTGGTTAATCATGCCCTTTGGACTTACTAATGCTCCTAGTACTTTTATGCGCTTGATGACGCAAGTTCTTAAACCTTTCTTGGGAAAGTTCGTGGTGGTTTATTTCGATGATATACTTGTCTATGGCCCTGATGAGCAGCAACATGTAGACCACCTTCGAGATGTTTTGTAGGTTTTGGAGAACAATCAACTCTATATCAACTTGCCTAAATGCATTTTTATGACAAGTGAATTGCTATTTTTGGGATACATTGTTAGTGCAGATGGCCTTCGAGTTGATGAGGCAAAGGTTGCCGTGACTCAAGAGTGGCCTACACCCAAGACTATTGGGGAGGTGCGGAGTTTTTATGGACTGGCGACATTCTATCGCAGGTTCATTCGTAATTTTAGCACTATCTTAGCACCTATCACAGAATGTTTGAAGAAGGGGCAATTTCGCTGGGATGATGCGGCTGAGGCAAGCTTTGCCTTGATAAAGGAGAAATTGTCTACTGCTCTTGTTCTAACTTTGCCGAATTTTGATAAATTATTCGAGCTAGATTGTGATACTTCGGGAGTCGGAATTGGCGCAGTACTCTCGCAATAGGGTAAACTGGTTGCTTATTTCAGTGAAAAATTGAATGAAGCTCGACGCCGATGGTCTACTTATGAGCAAGAATTTTACGCTGTGGTTCGAGCTATTAAGAATTGATAGCCTTATCTCTATTAGCATGAGTTTATACTCAATATTGATCACCAAGCGCTCAAATACATCAAGGGCCAAAAGCATTTAAAGAAGATGCATGAGCACTAGGTTTTTTTCTTGGAGCAATTTAATTTTGTACTTCGACATAAGGCAGGTCATCTGAACAAAGTGGCTGATGCTTTAAGCCGCCGAGCTGCATTACTGGTTACCATGAAGAACAAAGTAGTGCGTTTTAAGTCTTTATGCGATCTTTATCCAAGCGATGATGATTTTCGAGACACTTGGGCGAAGTGTCAAGCTGCTGGTTCTGCTGGTGATATGATTATGTGTGATAAATTCTTGTTTTATGGCAACAGGTTGTGTATTCCTCGAAGTTCTCTTCGAGAGAAACTGATTTGAGAGCTACATGGAGGAAGTCTTGGGAGACATCTCGACAGTGATAAGTCCATCACCTTGGTGGAGGAACGATATTTTTGGCCACAATTGAAGCGGGACGTTGGGCGTTTTGTGCAGAAGTGTCCTGTCTGTCAGGTTGCAAAAGGGCATTCACAGAATACTGGCCTTTATATGCCATTGCCAATTCCAACCGGACCTTGGGTGGATATATCCATGGATTTTGTTCTGGGACTTCCGCGAACTCAACGAGGTATG